CACTTTTCCACTGACAACAGTGAAAATAAAAGGGGAGAGAAGGACCAAGATAGAAACAGAAGTCTGTGTGACATCCTGGTATGCTCATGCAAGGTCTTGTGATGCATGTGGTATTTAAATATAGAGGCAAACGTGACACCCAGGGAAAATAAGCAACACAAAAACTTTACATGCACCAACAAACAAAGCATTACAAACACTGCAAGCCTAAATCTGGCAGCTTCCAGAAATACTTGCAGTGTTTTTCTAATGGAAGCAAGTCACAGAAATAACAGAAATTTTAATAACAGGAAAAAATATACATAAAATGTGATTGAGAAGTGATGCCCTGTGCTGTGGATATGTTAAAACAAGTGTGATATTTGCAAATTGTCTTTTATTTTTCAAAGTGAACAGTGTTTTTCCTGTAGATTTGTCTTTAGTTAAAGGGTTAGTTCACCCAAAAATAAAAATTCTGTCATTAATTACTCACCCTCATGTCGTCCCAAACCTGTAAGTCCTTCATTCATCTTCAGAGCACAAATTAAGATATTTTTTATCAAATCAGGGAGCTTTCTGACTCTGCATAGACAGCAACACAACTAAAAAGTTAAAGGCCCAGAAAGGTAGTAAGGACATCGTTAAAATAATCCATGTGACATTCAACCGTATTGTTATGATGCTACGAGAATTCTTTTTGTGCTCAAAGAAAACAAAAACAACAACTTTATTCAATGATTTCTTCTTTTCCGTGTCAAAATTCGACACACGTTCACAAGAGTACCACGACGCATGCATGTGCATAGATATGTATATATATATATATATATATATGTGTGTGTGTGTATTCCTCTCTTTGTAAACAAGCCACAGCGCATCCGGGTTCTACATCAGAATGCATGCGTCATGGTTCTGTCATGAACATACGTCGAATTCTGATACAGAAGAGAAGAATAGTTTAATAAAGTCATTATTTTTCTTTTCTTTGTGCACAAAAAGTGTTCTCGTAGCTTCATAAAATTACAGTTCAACCACTGATATCACATGGACCATTTTAACGATGTCCTTACTACCTTTTTGGGCCTTGAACGTTTCAGTTGTGTTGCTGTCTATGCAGCGTCAGAAAGCTCTCGGATTTCATCAAAAATATCTTAATTTGTGTTCCGAAGATGAACGAAGGTCTTGCGGGTATGGAACGACATGAGGATGAGTAATTAATGACAGAATTTTTATTTTTGTGTGAACTATCCCTGAAAAAAAAACTGCCAAAAATGTACTCATCCTCAGACCATCCAAAATGTACATGAGTTTGTTTCTTCATCAGAACAGATTTTTAATAAATTTAGCATTGTATCACTTTCTCACCAATGGATCCTTTGCAGTGAATGGGTGCCGTCAGAATGAGAGTCCAAACAGCTGATAAAAACATCACAAAAATCCACAAGTAATCCACATGTATATGAAAGAATGAAGAAAACTTGAAGTTTCAGAATCCATCCAAAGAAAAAAAATAAAATCACAATCAAATCTATTGAAATGAACAATACAAAAACAAAAAAAGAGGAACTCTCTAACTAATCGGATTAATAGGAGATATAGTGAGTTCTGCACAAGCATGAATGTCTAATTATGAAACCGTTTGAATTATGATCAGCTTGGATATTGAATTCTGTTTACATGTAAACATGTTGTCCATATTCTAAACATCACAGATGCAAAAGGACTTGTAGTATATAAAAAACCCTACACATCCCTGAATATTTTTTCCAAAGGTATCACCTTAAATCACATATGTCAAGTGGACACTTACATATAACAGGGATATAACAGAACACAGATAACAGGGGCCTTCACAAATGAAATTTATTTCTTCATTATGCACTTGTCTCGAGAGAAAGGAAAATAAGTCTTTATATTTTACAGCACACAATGTAACACTAAATATAGAGAGAGAAATTTTATATGGTCCACTTAGTAAATAAGATGCAAAAGTGTGAAGGAGAAAAACATATCAGGAGAAATGCACACATTCTTCTTTTGCTAATAAAGCACTGATGTTTCCCTTGAAAACATTTCGGTTGCACAAAACAAACAAATCAAGGCTGAATTAAATTGAAAGTGAAATATATTTTCCTTTTATATCCACTGAATCGAACAGTAAATGTAGAACCAATGACCACATGTTCTTATTACAAAGTCTTGTTGTGTAATACATTTACACCTTGAAAGAATCTAATTTGCTGGTTCAGAGCACACACAATATGTTGGTTTGTGCCTTAAATTGTTCAGTCAAATGTTAGCTTTACATGCCATCCATTTATTTGTTAAAAAGTGTGCTGTAATGACCCAAAACCAAAATCAGTTTAGACATCTGACATCTTCAACACCCTCACCTTTTGAACTGGAAATCACAAGGCGTCACGGATTTACCTCTAACTGTGAATCTAAGAGGATAATCTTGACCAGTCCAATAAGCATTATTATAAAACTGACACAACCTGAATAATAACATGAAGATCAAAAGGGAAATAAATAAATGAAGTGAACAGACCAGTGAGCAAGTCATACTGAGTTTTATCAGTGCTGCTCACAGCTGTGCACATAAGTCCAGGTGCAGAGCTGATCCCTTTATTCATGCAAAAGTTACTACAATCATAGCCACTATAGTCAAACAGGCCAAATATAGACTCTTCACGATCTACAAATTTGAAACAGTATGTGCACAATAATACATATGTACTGATGTTGGTAAAGGTGAAAAAGTAGTGATTTTGGTATTTCAAATAACCTCAGATTTCCAACCCATCTCTTTCACAGACTGCGAAAGACAGACTTAACATTGTAAATCTGTAAAGTTCTTTTTTTATTTTCATTAAATTAAAGGGTTAGTTCACCCAAAAATGAAAATTCTGTCATTAATTACTCACCCTCATGTCGTTCCAAACCCGTAAGACCTCCGTTCATCTTCGGAACACAAATTAAGATATTTTTGATGAATTCTGAGAGCTCTCTGAACCTCCCATAGACAGCAATTTAATTACCATGATCAAGGTCCAGAAACGTAGTAAGGACATTGGTAAAATAATCCACAAAAATCCATGTGACATCAGTGGTTCAACCGTAATTTTACAAAGCTACAAGATTACTTTTTGTGCGCAAAGAAAATAAAAACAACGACTTTATTCAACAATTTGTCTCCTCCGCGTCACCCTGGCGCCATTTTGGAGAGTATCCGCTGAATGTAAACAACGTATGCTATTCTGTGTCAGCTGCGTCAATCTGAACGAAAACAACGTATCCATGTGGCGCAGCTGACACCGAACAGCATATGTTGTTTACTTATGTGATACTCTCCAAAATGGCGCTATAGGGGTTTGGAACGACATGAGGGTGAATAATTAATGAAAAATCTAGTAAACGCTGCTATATAGCCTTATTGAGTGCAACAGTCAGGTTCCAGAAGTAAAAATCCCATTTATTTTGTTCATAAGGGAATAGGAACTTCATAAGGGAATTTTAACTTTAATTTTTAAAACTTTAAAGACAGACTTAACTACGTGGTTGTTAATCAGTGGTACATGCTCACATTGAAGCCATCAGCCTGCTTGATTTAAACTTTTTTTTAAATCATGTTTGACATTAAAATTCCTGATGAAAACCACATTACCCATCATTCTGCAAAGAAATCTCCACGACAAAGAAATCATGCCAAAACAACCCCTTAAGTCTCTCATATACTCTCTCAAACTATATTTTGTAATAAACATAAAATATATTGTTTGTGTATATAAGCTATAATCAACATCTTTAAAGGGATAGTTCACCCAAAAATGAAAATTCTGTCATCTCACCCTCATGTCGTTCCAAACCCGTAAGACCTTCATTCATCTTCGGAACACAAATGAAGATATTTTTGATGAAATCCCAGAGCTTTCTGACCCTGTTGTGTCATGGTACTCTCATGAATGGGGGCGGATGCTGACGCAGAAGAAGATAATTGTTGAATAAAGTTGTTCTTTTTGTTTTCTTTGCGCACAAAAAGTATTCTCGTAGCTTCATAATATTAAAATTGAACCACTGATGCCACATGTACTTTTTTAACAATGTTCTTACTACCTTTCTGTGCCTGGGAATGTTTCAGTTTCATTGCTGTCTATGGGAGGGTCAGAAAGTGCTCGGATTTCATCCAAAATATCTTAATTTGTGTTCTGAAGATGAACGAAGGTCTTACGCGTCTGGAACAACATGAGGGTGAGTAATGACAGAATTTTTATTTTTGGGTGAACTATCCCTTTAAATGAATAAAAAGCTCCATTGTTTCCCAATACTTCATGGGATTGTTTCCCTCACTGACATTAGTACAGAGTCTTGTACAATTTACAAATATGTTTTTGCTTTAAATTAAAGTTTGTAATTCACCTCGTAGCTGGTTTGTTTGGTTTATGCTTATAACTTTTTAAAACTCTCTATGGGAAAATAGAAGTAAAAATACCTCGGGAACCAAGGCAGTGGGAACAGTCGCACTTATTTACTGTCAAACATGACAACGCAGTCAAACTTCTTAACATGAAACAGGCACTATTTTCATGTCCCAGACTCGCTCTCTCTCGTTTTACACATACGCAACTGCCTCCATCATGCATCTTAGTTGTCAACTGCAGTGAAAGTTAAAAAATAGTGTTAAAAATATTACTCTATTGTTGCAGTGTTTGATTTTTTGCTATGTCAGTTGATTTGCATGGAGTATGTTTTTCTTAGTGAAGCTTTAAGGGAATATGCAGATAAAATAATATCAACTCAAATCAATATTTCATGTTCATTTATTTACTTACTTGTTTGCATCTGTGTCCTAATCACCTGGGCGGGTTTATTTTGCAATAATTACAGGCTGACTGTACATTACTTCTTGCATAGCAACTGCGACTCTCAAATTAAACAATGTTGACATGCATGAGAAGATGCCCAATGTATTTCACGTCTACAATACTGTATCAGATCCTTTCTTGCATAGCAACTGCGACTCTCAAATTAAACAATGTTGACATGCATGAGAAGATGCCCGATGTATTTCACGTCTACAATACTGTATCAGATCCATCCAGAAAGAACTGAGAGACAGAGAAATCACTGGCATGAAAGTCACTATCGACATCAATCTAGATTGTAGTCTCAGGCGTGTGTCTAGATATCGGCCCATGCTCTGTCTCTCGCTTCCCATTCTGTCCATTGGCATGCTGGGACCCACTGGATAACAGCAAAGCCATCCTGTTACTTTTGCAAGGACTCGTCGCCCTAGAGCTGGATCTCATTGTACCAGGAAAAGGGCTCCCAGATAGGGAGGAAGAGGAAGAGGAGGTACAGGGGCCCCAGCCTGGAAGAAGGCCTGATGCCGGACGAGAGCCCACAACTCTGCTGAATAACGTTGGGCTGGGTTGCATTGGGGCCAGGGTCTGCTGACTGCCGTTCATGCCAATGGAGCTGGTGTCTGTGTAGACCTGGTTGGCCGAGCCCATCTGGACGCGGTAGTTGTACGCCCTCCAGCCCTGTTGTTTCCTCTGCTGACACTGGCACCGTAAGATCCGAATGAAGGCCTGCTTGAACTCACGGCTGTAACAGGGGTAAATAATGGGGTTCAGGCAGCTGTTGAAGTAGCCCAGCCAGAAGATCACTTTGAAGAATGTTTCAGGAGGACGTAAACTGGTGTTAAACGACCCTAAAAATAGGAGACATAAAAGGGAATATTTGTAAACAAATCTGCATGCACAATGCTTTTTCATCGTTCACCAATAGATGGCAGACTTTATTAACTCACATGTAAACTACAGAAATAAAGAATCAAAACAATTAAGATTTTTGTAAATCTTTTTAATCTTAATGACAAAAAACATATTTCCCCCAAATTCTCTAATGTTATGTGAACAGATATTTTACTTCAGTGTGTCTCATTAGTCTCATAACTAACAGTACAAAATACATTTTCATTTCTTTAAAATCGGCATAAATAAAGGCAGTATAACAAAAACGATCATGGTGTGTACAAATAACTTTTTTTTTTTTTTTTTGCAGTTTGATAATGCTAATGATGTGGGATAACATTAACTATCATTAAAATGTGTCACAAAAACTTTTTTCTGATTTACACTCATAATTGGATGTTTTATGCATTTTTACAATGATATGATTACTTGTCATATAAATGTGCCACGAAGGCAAACATATCTCTATATAAAACTGATATAAATCTATATATAATATATAAATAGCATTAAACAAAATTTATATAATAATAAAATGTTCTCAACAATCAAATTTGAGCAAAAATATAATTCCTTATTTCTGTGTTTTGCTATTGGGATGGAATATGATCTGTATATGTTCTTGAAAGGTTTAATGAAATTAAGTTTTATCTGTCATATTTCAAAGCCTCTAATTCAACATTAAGTCTGTCCCGGTCTTAAAAAGTAAGTCTATTTTTTGAACACTCTCATCCTGTCATAAAGAGCATCATTTGAATAGCCCAATCTTTGCTGCGCACTCTGTAAGCTTTTATTAAAATGGTTATCTTAAGTTTTTAAATTCCAAAATCTATGTTTTATGAGGAAGATTTATAGTGCTTTTACAATTGTACTCCAGCTTAAATCAACTGTCTATTTAAAGAAACAAGCCAGAAAATCTGTCCCTTCAAGATGTCCCATTTTCTAACTGCAAGTCTTTCTCGGGTTTCTATACTCCCCCGGTCTCCAAAACATTTTAAAAAGTTCGCACAGATCCATCATGCTTTTCCAGACTCTGACTGTAGCTTATCTTCACTCATGAGTTTACTAACTCTTCCCTGAGGAATTCACCACTTTTTCACTCGCTTGTAAATGCGTGATGTGCAGCCCATACCCTTTTTTGGCTCTGATATTACTAATTAGACAAAATCTTTTCCTCTTTTAATCTTAAAGTTTCAAAGTTTATATATGTTGTACTTCAATAATTCCTCTAACAGGAACAGGACGGATGACTGAAGTGATTTGGTCTAATTCGCTATGGTACGTATCAGTACAGAGCCGGATGAGACTTGGGTTCATTACCACACTTCAAGAAGAGACACAGGTGTGAGGCCTCCGGTCAGCTCCTGTCTCTGCTAGTAAGTGAATTATTCCATTACGTTACGATGTTCTCGCATCTTCCTTCTCTAAATCACACGTCACTCAGGCATCTCTCAGCCGGAGCAGCTATAAATTAAGACAATCTGCACTATAAGAAGTCAACAAACATTCTTGCAGCAACCTTGTTCCTTTCAGCAAGTGGTTTCTGTTCTGTTGTCCAACTGACATTTAGAGAAACCTCGCTGCTTTGTTATTTAGTTGTTTAGTTCATCTGTGATTAAATAAAGTCCGTAGAAATCATCGCCAAAAATAGTTCGAACTGCCCTGAGAAAACACATTACTTGATGGATAAACTCTCATGTGGCCTGGTGGCAAAGTGGTCATTGATTTTTCAATTATCTGTATTCATTCTGCATTCAGTCTACCATTTAGAAAAGAAAATTAATTATAACATAAAGCAAGTTAAAGCATAATGTTTGCAGCATTTTGAGCTTAATCAACACTCAACAAACCAATTGTGGAAATAAAACACAATAGGTATCGTGATTAAAAACTTGAAATTTAAAGCAAGTCCAAATCTTCATGCAATGCAACCAGAAATGATAATCTTCTCAAACACCAGTTCATTCCAATATTCATAATATGGCATATGAAAACAAAGGCTACTCAAAGAAGGGAAGTTAACTCCTCAAGGTCAAACACATGGAATATATTTTCCTTCAAAATATTTCTTCACTCATTTGCAGGAAAAACATATCAGCCCATCTGCTAATATGACCCTTTAGGAGGTCACTGGGAGCTGAACTTCTGGGTCATAAAGTGAATATAGGAGGGTGATTCAATTTTGACCAGATTTTTCTGTAGTGGGAAAAGTAACTCTTCTATATTCCCACACCTCATCAGAAACCTCTGGGTTCAGAAAGGGAGTGAGCCTGGGAATGAGAGAGCTCTGAAGACATTGGCATCTCCAGTGCATTCCACCAGGAGACTTCAGTAAGCTTTGGGGACCGGCTCTGTAGTTACTCATTGCTGAATTAAATGCCCGCACGTCAGGTTAACATGACAGGCGTTGCTTTGCAATTCAAAACAACACATGAGTAAAGGCTTCATATATTAGAATAAATTGCAAAATAAAATCTAAAGTGGTGTCATGAATTATGTCTTTGCAATTAACCTTCTGCATCTGTTCCACTGGCTCTCGTCCATGACAGAATTTGAAACTGTTCTTTTAGTGAGCAAATGTGTTGAACTTTAACAAGAGATTTTTGAATAAGGTCTGAGTACGTACCACAAACACAGAACAAGAATTTACCAACGGAGCGTTCAAGCTGGAGATGTGTAGTTTTTCCTGGCAACATGATCACATTCTAAAGTGTCAGAAATTGCACTATCTTGACATTCAATCTGTATAATTACTGCCATGAGTATTTAAAAAAATATCACCATCAATGTGACTGTGCAACTGTTCATTCAACTCTAACAGCCTTGCATGTTTTAGTAGTAACTATACTGAATTAAAATTATAATTAATAAAATTATTATTTATTATTTAAAATATAATATAGCATGATATTTTACTATTTTATGATAAATATACTATTTTAAGATGAGTCTCTTGTAATGCATGGAGCAATACCAGCAAAGTGCCCAAATGAAAGTGTAAAACGGGCCTATATGCTCCAAAATATATTCGGTTTGTACTACATCGTCCTGGTTCCCTGCTAAAACTATGATATAATGTGTACTGCATCTACATGACATGCTTCTACAGCCGACAGAATCATTTGCATTCATTCTACTGTTAATCATCCACCTCAGGAATGGCTGTATTCGGCAATGAATTCCATAAATATTTATAAAAATCTAATTATTGTGGTAATGTCACATGGGTTTGTCTTTCATTTGTCCAACAAGGTTAAACTTTATTTCTTATGATAGACTGATGAAATAATGGGGCAGTTGCACAGACTGTCTCAAACTGTATGCCCTGGGACTCATTTATGCCACAACAATAACACTTTAAATGTTCTTTAGAGTGGGACAGATCATAAGCTTAGCAAGTTTATTGCTATGTTTAGGCCTATAGGTTTTCTGTAATTTATGAACTACAAATCTGATTTCTAGCTGATCTATTGATGGGTCTGATGGACTGCCAACTAAAGGGGATCTTGGTCAGGCTGGTAGACCACAATGGACGACTAAAAGCCATGTTCTAAAAACAGTTTTTCCAACAGGGACAAAGACCTAATTTGACAAAATTCAAATTTTTGTCACTTTTCACATATTAAGTGCAGCAAACATATTTGCTATAAACTATTATTGTATAAACTAATATGTGTTTCATTATCTGATCTGAAAAAAAAAATCTGTTTAAAGTTTAGGGACAAAAAAAGTTTAAAGTAGTGCCTGTCGTGTTCAAATTTAAATTATAGCTGCTACATTTCGTTTTGATATTTTTATATTTAGCACCACGGAACCTCACAGGCTGAACGTATAAAGCTTTTATAGCTATTATCCATCACGAATCTACCTAAAATTCAGTTTACAAGATATTTCAAATAAGTGTAAACATTTTTTTGAATGTAATATAAAATAAAATGATTTGTTGACAATGGAACCTAAAAGTTTGTCTTTTGTGGGTTATAATTAATAAACATCATACGTACCGATGGGTAATGCGAGGAAAAATGGTAACCAGCACAGGATAAACATGCCCACAACAACACCAAGCGTTTTAGCAGCTTTCTTTTCTCTAGAAAACTTGAGTAATTTGACTGTCAGCGAGCTCCTCATGTGGCCTTTGCTGCAGTCATCCTGCGTCTGAGAGCCTTTATAATGAATCCGGAGCGTCAGCTCGTTGGAGTCCATGTGCTCCTTCATCACTCCAGCCTCGAGGTTTTTAGTGGTTCTTTTGGCTACTATATACACTCGGCAGTACATGGCCAGAATCACTGCCAAAGGGATGTAGAAGGAGCCCAGCGAGGAGAAGAGCGCGTAAAACGGCTCCTCTGTGATGAGGCACACAGTCTCGTCCTCCGAAGGAGGCTCTTTCCACCCGAGCAGAGGTCCTATGGAGATGACAAAGGCAAGAACCCAAACACCCAGCATGGCCAAGAGCGCCCTTTTCTCGGTCACAATGCTCGGGTACTGCAGCGGGTAACGCACCCCGATGTAGCGGTCTATGGAGATCACGCACAGACTCATGATGGATGCGGTGCAGCACAGCACATCCACCGCAGCCCAGATGTCACAGAAAATCCTCCCGAACACCCAGTAGTTGAGAATTTCACGCGTGGCGGACACCGGCAGGACAGTTGTGCTCAGCAACAGGTCTGCCATGGCTAAATTGATGATGAAGTAGTTGGTTGGGATGCGCAAGTGCCTGTTGCACACTACGGAGAGAATAACGAGAATGTTGCCCACGATAGCAAACACAATAAAAGCGCCCAGAACCATGCCCAGTGGAAGCGCACGGCTGAGGCTGAACGAGCTCGGTTCGGTCCAGTTGCCCGCGGAGCTCGAATTAGAGACGTCGGACAGTTCGGAGGAAGCATTACTCACGAAGTTCACGGCATGATCTGTATCAGAACTCATCTTGCCTCTGCAGTGCCTCCATACCAAAGTAAGAGGAGGATTCACCGCCAAAAGCGCAAATTGTTATTTCTGGATGCCAAACGAAAAAAAAGATAGAAAATGACCAATTCAAAGGATCCGTAAGCTCTGTTGCGCAACAAGTGCGAAATAGGAAAAGTCCATAATTGTAAACGTTGCATAAAGTCCAGTTGAAGATGTGCGTAACTTGGTTGGCCGAGTTCTCCGCAGTGTCTCTCCCGGTGTTCCCGGCTGATCTGCCTCTGACCACTCCTGCATTCACCAAACCCCCTCCCCTATGGAGACTAGTATACAGGCAGCAACGGAGAGACCTCGCAAAGCAGAATATTTTCACGGCTTCTGAACCTCTACACTTATGGCAAGCCGTTGTAACCTTTAATTCCCAAAATTTACCAGTATCTGCTTGTTTTTCGATAACGAGTAATCTAATAATAATTTATTGTCACACAACCCTTGTATATCTCTGTTGTAAATTACACGTATTTACTACAGGCCTAGTAATAACAATAAATTATGTTTAATTACATGCAACTCTAATCCTAACCCTATAAGCACATGCTGCTTATTATTATTACTCAGTACTTCATGTATGATAACAGTGTAACAAGAACACATTAAAATAAAGTGTAACCAACTTTTTAACTGAACTATAATTTAGCCATTTACAAATTGTAAATAGGCTACTAGTATAACTACTGAGATAAGAAATGTTGGTTTCACTTTATTTTAAGGTGTCCTTGTTAAAGTGTAATTATACATTTAAGTACTGAGTAATATTGATTAGCTACATGAACTTGCTATTTAGTTAGGGTTTGGCTTAGGGTTACTTGCATGTAATTATGCATAATTAATTGTAATTACATGTAACGTGTAACAAGGGTAACACTTTATTTTAAGGTGTCCTTGTAATAAATTGTACATGTACTTACTATTATAATAACACTATATTATGCATAATTACATGCAAGTAACCCTAAACCAAACCCTAATCCTAAACCTAACCATATAGTAAGTGCATGTAGTTAATTACCGTAATATTACTCAGTACTTAAATGTATAATTACAATGTAACAAGGACACCTTAAAATAAAGTGAAGTGTTACCAAAATGTTACTAGTTCCAGAAATAGGCACTACAATCAAATAAATGCATACTATATATATGATAGAAATGGTGCCAGCAATAATTCAAATAGATTCTAGTTGGAAATGAAGAGTTGATATCTGAGCCACTATTTATCTTAATGGCACAAATGTGTGATTTGTTACCAAAAGCTCTGAAAATGTTGTTGTCACTTTTAGAACAGTGACTATTTTAATAAATACAAGTCATACTAATTAATAGTTACTAGAGAAATTGAAAAAGATACTAGCTATTTACTAGAAATTTAAATTTAGTACTACTAACATAAAAATAGACGGTACTGTAGTTTATTTTAAAGAATAAAATGTTGCTTGTCATATACACCTATTTAGCCATCACGCTGATAGATATAAATTATAATAAATCGGTCACTTGAGCTTCACAGCCTGCTGTCAGGTATGTCAACTGGAAAGCACGCCAATGGACATACCAACCGCGCTATTCTTAGGATCATTTGCGATTTAAAATATGGAAAACTTGCAAACAATATCAAGGTTGTTGATGCACGGTGGTACCTAGGTGCCTATTTCAGTCTCACAAGGACTGCGCAGTTATACAATACCAATCAGTCGTACATGCCATATGTCCACAAGTTTCTAAAAACATTTATTTTTAGCTCTTAAGTACAGCTTTTAGTCCAAAAAACACATTTTCTTGTGTCTGGTCCTAATGTAGAGCACAAATGAACCGCTGAAATCACAAAGTCATTCACTGTCAAAAGTCTCCACGCTGTGCCATCTTTAAAGACTGCAATGAGTGTCCAAATGTTCCTGCAAATCATCTGTAATTTTATAAACTAGCCACTAACTCAATCTCTTTGCAAATGCCAGCCAAATAGGAATATACTTTGACAGTGATGAAGTACTTAATGACTTGCGCCAAAAAACAAAAACAGAAAACAGATAACTCAAACAGATGAATGAAAACCTCCAGAAGTCAACTAATTTATACAGAAATCAAAGTAAATTACAGCTAGCGAGAGCCGTGAAAGAGGAAACAAGCCTGCTGTCATGCAGGAATATCCTCATTGTGCTGAAATTAAATAAGCCTTGCTATTAAAAAGATTGTTCATGATACAGGCACAACAAAAAGATTAAGGAGTCTTAAACTGCACTCCAACCAGAGGCTAAAGGGAAACAGCAGAGCATGTGACGTGAAGGGGGACGTTATATCCTTTGTAGATGGGTCAGTAGGTGATGGCACCGAATGTATGGCTGATGCATTTCAACCCAGACGCCAGTGCTGAGCTCAGGAGAAACAGCAGCCAGACCGCTGTGTGACCACTGACCAGTGCAATAAATATACACGCATGCACACATACCCCATGGCACTGTATAGCTCTTGAAAACCGTCCAACTATTAGCTCAAACGCACTCCAAGTGAATTAAGATGATTACATTTAATACCGTCGCCGCTTTGGATGATGAATTGCTGAAGGTAATGTGAAGTGAATGGTAAGATTTAAAGGCAAGAAAATGCTGAGCTGTCAGCCGCACCACACTAAACTGCGGCATCTTCTCCCAGCACGGTGGCAAGCGTCTGTCAAGTGTCGAGTGATAGTATATATATTCCATAATGGAAAGAAAGCATTTTTTATAGGAATAATTCTCTTGAAGAATTTACATTTACATTATAGCCACATAAGTATATGTCTTGAATAAAGAATTGCTTTTAAAATAATGAATCAAAATATTCAATGTTTTGTGAAAAGATAATAAAAAAAGAACAGAAGAGCTAGAGGTGCTTTGCAATTCTATGCAGTGCACATAATTAAGTGGGCATAATAAAGCATGGGAAGGAAGTGTAATTAGTAGGCATCCTGTGAAGCTGTAATATCGCAGATGTCAAATTGTTTTGTTCTTCTTCCATAAGGATGAAAAACACTTTTGTCTATAAAATGGGCTTATTAAAATTCATGTTGAATAGTCTATAACAGTGGAATTGATTTTGTTTCAGGCCCAGATTTTGAAATGGACATCAAATTATAGCCAACAAAATACCAAATAAAGTGTTTATTGTACAAATATAAACAAAAACATCATTAGAAATCAAAAACATACATGTATTAATATTACATCTTGAATCATTAACAAATTCTGAAAAGAAAAATTGGTTTTTAAAATGTTGGTTTCTGAATGTCTCGTAAATTCTTGAATATTGATGGTTTTGTAACTGTTTTACAAGTTGGCAATTTTGTATTCTATGAATTCATAGGATTTGCTTCAAACTAAAATGTGTTTTTTAAGCAAAAACGCTCCGGTTACTGAAGTAACCTCGGTTCCCTGAGTTAAGGGAACGAGCGTTGCGTGAGACGCTAAGGGGAAAACTCCTGTTTTACTCTGTACTGAAGCCTGATTTGTTCACGTTTGTGTAGCTGCATAAACCAATGGCGCTTTAGCCCGCCAGAAAGGGTGGAGCCGACCCTTCTATAAGTCGGCTCAGAGCGCTATTCATCAGATCATTCGATTGAAGCGACAGTCATCAATTTGCGTGCAGCTTATAGTTCGGCAAGTGACGCAACACTCGTTCCCTTATCTCAGGGAACCAAGGTTACGTGAGTAACCGGAGAATTCCCTTTCGAACGGTCTCTCCCATTGTGTTGAGACGCTAAAGGGAACGTATCCAATCACGCCACGCTATGAGCAGATGCAGGACATCCTGCTCTGTGAGCCCAGTCTCGGAGCACTAATAAGGACCCCTGAGAACATGAGCACATTGTGCCCCAAGCTAGTGGCTGAGAAGCACTAATACAACCAGCTTCGCCCAAGGAGGAAGAGTGGTACATTAAATGGAAAGAACTCGTGCCTGTAAAGCAGAGACGTCTAAGTTATAGAATATGGCAAATGTGGATGGCGACGAGCAGCCGGCGGCCGCACAGACCTCACCAATAGAAATTCCACTGGACCATGCCCAGGAGGAGGCCATCCCTCTTGTGGAATGAGCACTCACACCTATAGGGCAATACCATAGGTAAACCAATGCTATCGCATCAACGATCCAGCGAGAAAGTCACTGCTTAGTGGCCGGCAGTCCTTTATGGCGGCCTCCAAAGCAAACAAAAAGATGCTCTGACTGTCTAAACAGGCTAGAGCGCTCTAGGTATACTCTCAGAGCCCTTACTGGACAGAGTTTAGGAACATATCATTTCTTGGTTTTAGAATGACTTTACAGACATTAGGCCCAAATTCAAGACATGAGGCGTTGATTGACAGCGTTTGCAAGTCACTCACTCGCTTAACCGATGCCAAGGCAAGGAGGAGGGCCGTTTTAAGCGGTAAGGGCCGCAAATCGGCCGAACTAAGCTGCTCGAAGGGGGGCCCTCTCAGAGCCCGCAGGACTATAGACAATTCCCAAGATGGCACAGTCTGAAGGCGAGGAGGATTCAGCCTCCGTGCACCCTTCAAGAACTTAACGATCAGGTCGTTTCTGCCGATCGATTGGCTAGCTTCAAGAGAACGGTTCGCTGCGATAGCTGACACATACACTTTGAGCGTGGAGGGGGCGTGCCCCTTATCCAGCAGCTCTTGCAAAAAGTTTAGCACATGGGACACGTCACATGATATCGGGTTCAAACTTCGTGCAGAACACCAGTTAGGGAAGACCGACCATTTTAGGCTGTAAAGTTGTCTTGTAGACAGCGCTCTTGCCTCCAAAATGGTATTGCTTACTCTCGCTGGGAGCTGATTAAGCTCCGTCGAGGCACCATACATGAAGGCTCCACAGCTCCGGCCGGGGATGCCGAATCATGCCTTTCGCATGCTAGAGAAGGTTCCTCCTCAGCGGAATGGGCCACGGGGCTGCTGCTGAGAGTTGCACTAGTTCTGGGAACCAGGCCTGGTTCCTCCAGAGCGGGGACACCAGGAGGAAAGAGCACTTGGTCTCCCTGACCCGCCAGACAACCTGAAGAATCAGGG